CTCCTGGAGAGTTCAGGGCTTCTTTGCCTGTTCTTCTTCCACAGGAAAAAGGCAAATGAAGAAAATTACAAACACCGAATCCTTTTTCTTCCTTCCTCACCCAGGGATATTTTTTCATTGCTTTTTAGGGAGAGAGTAAAGGAGAGAGAAGCATTGATTCGTTGCCTCCATATGAACCTGGACTGGGAATCAGACCCACAGACTAAGTATGTGCCCTGACTAGAACTGAACCTACAACCCTTTGGTTACAGGGCAACAGTCCAACCCACTGAGCCACAACAGCCGGGGCCCAAAACCTTTCCTTTGCTATTTGATCTTTGAAGCTATAGCTTACCATATTTCTAATTATAAACCCCAGTGACAGGATTTGCACATTATGTACTTCCACTCTGTACCCCAGATTCCTCAGTGATATCCTCGAGTAAGCCAGTGGTTTCTACTTCATTTATAAACCTACTTCTGATACATGTACTTTTTTCTAAAGGGATCAAACCCACTTTCCTAACACATTTCAGAACACAGGCAGGAAAGCCTTAACAAACAGTAGTAGTTTAGACACATATAGAACTCTCTAGAATCTACAGAATGCCTAAGCATTCCTTATACAATATTTCACGCAATGGCTCGCAACCATCAGGTGTGGTAGGCGTCATCACTCCTAATTTACAGAGAGGGAATGTGAGGCTCAAAGAGATGATGTAATGTGCCCAAGATCATATAGTAGATCCAGGTCTCAAAAGGGCAGACGTTTCTATTCAGACTCAAATATGCGAGAGTTCTCCTCCCTCTTGCCCACCTATTCTGCAATCCTTGTGAACTTTCTGCCTCCATTCTGTGACAAGTAGGCATTCTGGATGCCTAGAGGCAGTCCCTAAATTTTGGGATTTCTGCCACTTCATGGAGTCACTGCAGATCTGAGATCTAGTCCTCAGGACATCAATTTTTATCACTTCACTAAAGGGTGAAGAGACGGGGGAGAGAAAGTTACACTGACTAAAGAGGTAACTAAGTGATGAATCTAAATTGCAATTTGTTAATTAATATACTAATATTAGCAATAAAATAATATGCTAGTACTAATTCCTTGATATACTGAGAAATCAAACTGCTCAGAGAGCTAGAATGTTAAGTGGGAAGTCCTTACTAAGGTGTTAGGTGGGTAGGCTTGATTTGAATAACCACCACAGGACACTTAGAAATACTTTGTCCCCTGGACAGAACTGACATGCTCTGACATATTTTTATCCTCTGACTGCTCTCCCAGATTGCAGACTCTTCCCTTTTTAGTTACAACAACTATATTGGTTGGTTCATAATGAACTTTACTAGATTATAGTTGATTACAGTCATCATTCCTTGGAGGAAATTTAGAAAACACCACAAATGCACACCCAGCATATTTTCTAATCATCTCCAAAGGAGATTTTTTAAAGTTTTTTTATTATGGCAACTCTCAAAAATACAGAGAGCAAGAGGGACTCCCCATGTACCCATATCCCTGCTTCGACATTGATCAACAACCTGCTGCTTTCTTTCATCTACTCTACCTGCCTCCAACATGCACATAATCTTGCTCTAAATTATTTTAAAGTAAATTTCCAAATCTTCTTTCTCAATTCAGATGCTGTACCCTGTTTGAAATTCACTCTGAACTGAGGGTCAGTACAAGTGCCCACTGCACCAAGACATTGTGATGTGAAATGAGATTTGCTGTTTATCAGATACTCCAGTGAGAGATTTTCAAAACCAAACCCCTGGGCCTTACGCCAGACCTATGAATCAGGTGTCTGGGAGTGAGAACTAGGCATCTGGCCACGCCAAAAGCATTCCAGGCTATTTAATTGTGACTTTTTTGAAGGCCAGAATTTGTAAGTCACCACTAGAAAGTAGCTAGTTAGTGTTAGAGCTACTGTCCCCTTCTATGCTCCAAAGTCTGCTCCAGGGCCACGTTAGCTTCAACTTTAGGGATAAAGATGGGCCCAACCTCAGGTCCCAGTGTTAATCCCTGAGGAGGAACAAATGGTCTACCTAGCTTTCGGAGGGCTACTGGTAGGCTCCGCTTTGGACCTAGGCTTGGGGTAGGGGTGGATTTAAATGGAGTGGCATGGTTTAAAAGTGAAGCAATGGAAAGGATGGGGTCAAGAGGCTGTCTTGGAGCCCCTGTCACGGGTTGGGGGTGGGCATCAGGCTTTAAGGCGCTCCTAAATGAAGATATTGGTTAGGCTTTGAAGACAGGGAAGTAGAGGAATCACACAGAACTGCTAGAATGCACAGTTCACATTGTGTATGAATGTCCCATACCCTGTTAGTGTGCAGTCCTAGGTCATGGGAGATGATTCCATGGAGAAAAAGAGGGATATTAAACAGCTGAAAAGATGGTAGGTCAAGACCTGACTGAGCTTTCAGAAGGTGCCCCTAGGTGTGCGTAGAACAGTTTTTTTGGGGGGCATGGCTCCTTTTTCTCTTTCCATCCACCTCCCCTCAACACCTTGACAGTGTTGAGCTTTGTCTGAACCCCATACTTCTGAAAAGCAACTATAGTCAAGATATTCCCCCCAACCCTTTTGTGCCTCCACCCACATACCCCATTTTGAATTCTAAGAAACAGCTGACCTTAAAAGACTCTTCCAAGATAAGACCCACTTCTACCTTTCACATAAGGTGGAATGACTCAGATAAGACCCTCCATCTTTTATTCCAGTGACTCTGTTGTTGACCTGCCTCCATACCAGGCCACCTTCCTTTTCTTTGATACATTCCTCATTAATGAGCATTCTCCCTATTGGAAGAATCTGAACAAAATCATTGAATTTTTGTCCTGTGCATTTTGTCTTTCATGCGCTCTCTTTTGTTCCTACTTTCTTCATCATAATGAATCTTACAGTGAGAGATCTGCTGAGATAATATTTTGTAAACCCAGTTGATAGGTTGCATTACAGTATGAATGTACTAATGCCTCTGAACTGTATACTTAAAATGGTAAGTTTAAAATAATGGATATTTTATCACAATAAAAAATTTCAGCTGACCTAGAAATAGAATGAAAATAATTTCATTCAAAACAATTAGGACCCCTACTATGTGCTGGGTAATGGATTAGGGAGAGGGGGAAGTAGGTGGGGCCTAAGATAGGAAATGAGTAAGACCTGTTTCCTGTGGTCCAGGAGCTCCTAGCCTTCCTGGGGAGACAAATACTTGATCTGCTAATTGAGCTACATGATTCAGGGTGACATATTGTAATAGATATGTACACCACCTGATTTAAGCCAGGTTGTGAAAGGCCTTGAATGCTACACTAAGGAGTTTGGATTTTAAAGCAAGGGTGTAACAATGAATAGATTCATTGTAATACCTAATGTCTTACCACCAAACATCTGCTCTGTGGAGTGTGTAGATCAATGGCCTCAACAGCTTTAATTTTTAAAGCAGATTCACTGTACAGCAAGTGTTCACCCATGTTTCTCGTATTAAACATATTTATGCTCAGGAAAGAAAGAGTCAACTTTGGTTAAGTCTATCGGCAAGTGCTCTGTAAGAAATATGCTTGGAGCACATTGACTACTTAGAGAGGGGCACCTGACTGAAGCAGTTAAGGGAGGCCTCCAGGAGGAATGGGCTGGGGAAAAAAAGAGGGAAGAGGAGACACTGGAGCATATAGGTGAAGGGAGGGGCCTGTGGGCAATAAAGCCAGAGGAGGGTCAGAGCCAATGGCAGGGGGCTTTGTGTGTCAGGATAAGGGCCTTGCATCTTTTCTCCACAGGTGATGGTTTCCCAAAAAAGACTCTGTTAATAGTAATGATGATAATGATATAGTGCTTACTATGTGCCAGGCACTACTCTAAGACCTTTAGCAATTTCAACTTATTTAAATTAAACTTGAGACTCAGGAAATAGCATGGCAGATGGTTTAGGTCAGTTGGGTGGCCATGTGGATGATAGTGGCCAGAGACACAATACTAGGGACACACGTTGTGGTTCCAGAGAAATTGTAGCATGGACAGGATGTGATGGCTTTGCAAAGTAGGAATAAAGACATCAAGACTTGATTCATTATTGGTTGCATGGTGAGAAAAGGAGAAACTGGGATGGTTGTTATTTTTATTGGCTTTGGGAACTGAATGTATTATTGTGCTTACACAGGTGGAGGATTGATTACTTTGTTCCATTTCTTAGAGGACTTGCTTAAGTCTTCTAGTACCTCCTACTCCCTCCTGGGTTATTTGAGTTGTTCAATTTTCAAATATTTGGGATTTCTCCAAAGTATTTTTGTTATTGATTTCTAGTCAAATTCCATCACAATAGAACATCATTTATGTGCTTTCAATTCTTTTAAATGTGTGAAGGTTTTGTGTGTGGGTGATGGTGGTGGTGGTGGTGGGGGGGGTTTGCTGTTTGTTGACTCAAACTATCTTGGCAAGTGTTTCTTTTGCACTTGAAGAGGATATGTTTTCTGCTGTTGCTGGGTGAAGTTTCTATTAAGGTCATCAGGTCCAGTTGTTTGATAGTGCTGTTCAAGTCTTTTATAAATTTGCTAATTTTCCTGACAATTTTCCAGCTACTTCCATTGTGTAATTTCTCTGTTTCTCCTCTCAGTTCTATATCCTCCCGATAGTTCTGCAGTCCCGATATGGCAGAGGTTAAAACTTTTGCGTGGGACAGAAAGAAACATTTAAATTTAGTCTAGATAACAGGAGAACCATTTTATCTCTTTCCATTTTCTTCAGATTGCAAAGACAAAATGAAAATCACTACATATACCAGTAAGCTTAGCGGAACTCATGACAAAAGCAAATAAGAGAGTCCAGGCACTTGGCCACGCCCCCTTCCTGGGTTGGCAAGGCAACTGCTATCAAGCCAGCCAATCAATGAGACGCTCACCTGCTGCGGCGGTGAATTGACGAGAGCCAATGGAACGCGGAGCAGATGGTTCCATGGGCCAATGGCTTGTGAAGCAGGGCGGAGTTTTGGTAAAGGGACAGTGGTGAAAAAGATGGCGGCCACTTTAGGACCATCGGGGTGGTGGTGGCGGTGGCGGCGGCGTTTGTCGGCTCGGGATGGGTCCAGGATGTTTCTCCTTTTTCTTTTGTTGGGGTCTGGGCAGGGGCCCCGAAAAGTCGGGGCGGGTCAGACGTTCGAGTACTTGAAACGGGAGCACTCGCTGTCGAAGCCCTATCAGGGTGAGGCGCCCAGGACTAGGTGGTCATGCTCGGGGTGGGCTTCAGGACCTGAGTTCCTCAATATAGATGGGCGACTACGGGCTTCGCGGCTCCAGAAACTGCCGCCGGTGGGAGGGGTGCCCACGGGGACTCCTGCCATTTTGAGGAGCCACGGGCCTGCATGGCAGGGGTCATTCAGCCTTCCTCCACACTTACCCCCTGAGACCCGCCTCGCACTGCCCCTCACTTAGCGCTGGGTGTTTCCAGCGGGTCGTAACTGGGCTCTCGGAAGCCGGTAGGGCTAGGCCTGAATGGAGGGGGAGATCGGTGTTGGACAGGAAGAATGTGGGAAGGGGAGGGGACTGCGAATGGGGGGGCGAGTGATGGAAGGCCAGTAACAATGAGCCTGTCTCCGGATGGAGCTATAGATGTGCTAGAAATAAAGCAGGAGGCAGAGCTGGGATCGAACTTGGCTGGACTGAGACAAGATAAATCTGTTGCGATTTAAAACACCTGTTCTCCAGTCCAAGAACCCTACTGATGAAGGAGACTGGTAGCTTTGCTCTGTTTAGGGTTCATGGGCCCTTAGGCTTAGCTTACCAACCAGAAAATTTGTGTACTTGGCTGCAAAGAGGGCCAGACACAAGCCTGTTTCCCCACTGGAGTGTGGGTAGGAGGACAGCAAACAAACAAACACACACACACAAACTCCAAGTGCAAGAGCATTTGTTAAGCATCCTTAATACTGCTGTTACGGGTGATTATTTTTCGCTTAGCAGATGCATGGAGTGCCTCCTCTGTGTGGGTCTCTGCTAATGCTGTGGGTTATATAGACACAGTTCTTACTCCCAAGGGGCTTATAGTCAGGTATCCGGTGAAGTGGGGCTTGGATTGTTTAAAGAAACAAGGTGATTAAGCCCCAGAGGCCTGAGGATCAAGCTCTTTTTGGTTTAACTAGGGAATTTATTTTTAATGGTGCTACAATTTAGACACATATGAAAAAGGGAAGAATGGATTTGAGCAGTGGTTAACTGTGGCATGGATAAAGTCATAGCTCAGATGAGCTATGGGATCTTTACTTGAGAAGGGCTTTGTGAAAGGAAGCTGTAAAGATCATAAGGATATGAAGCTTATGACAGAAGGTGGGAGATTGACATGAAAGGAAAAAAAGATGTTGACTCCAGCTTTTGGAAGGCCTTGTGGTGGCTTTCTGAATGGGTTGGTGTTGAAGAGTATGAGCTGATCTACTTCCTCTATGTAGGTGTGGGCACTGGAAGTTCCTCATTGTGGAATCTGATGGGCAATGCCATGGTGATGACCCAATACATCCGCCTTACCCCAGATATGCAAAGTAAACAGGGTGCCCTATGGAACCGGATGGTAAGAATCTTCCTCCTGTGTTGGTGACCCAAAAAATTCCAGAAAGTTCACCAGGGGCACATTGACTTAATTTTACTGTTTATTTCCAGTATTCTATCTTATGTGTTTATCAGGGGTTTTCATTTCAGAGACTTTGATGACTTTCATAATGAAATCAGATATTTAGGGAAATGCTCTCTATTGCCCTAATTATAACAAGTAACTCATTTTGATCCTGTTTTCTGAAATGTCTTCAATTCCTTATTGACTTGATAGTGTGACTTCTCGAAGGTTACTAACTCATGTTTCGTCACTTTGCTTTGTAAAGTAGAAGACTTGTCTTTTAAATTTATCCCAAATTTCATTCCAGTTTCTTCTTCCCCTTCTTTGTTATTTAACTTTGAGGAGTCTAATTTTAAGTTTTATTTTCGTGTGAAAGCCACTTTGAGCCTTTAGTCATTTTATTTGTCCTTCTTTGGATCTTTTCTAGCTACATTGTCTTTCCTGAGGTATGATGGCAAGAAGCAAATTTGGTATTACTGGTGCAGCTGCATTCTGATTGTGTACAAGTGTAAGACGATGCTTTCTTTTTGGTTTCCAGGGCTCTTTTTTTTTTATTTTTTATTTTATTTTTTTAAAATTTTATTTAGTTATTTTTCAAGTACAGTTTTTTGTCTATTTTTCCCATCCCAGCCTCCCCCGCCCCTTGCTCCCCACCTCCCTCCCATTTCCACCCCCCCTTAGTTCTCGTCCCTGTGTCCTTCCTATTTGTTCCTCCAAATCCCTCCCCCATTTTCCCCTTAACTTCCCTTCCTTCTCCCCTCTGGTCACTATCCCCTTGTTCTCTATTTCAGTGTCTTTGTTTTTTGTTTTTGTTTTTTTTCTGCTTGCTTGTTTGTTTTGTTGTTTAGCTTCCTGTTAAAGGTGAGATCATATGGTATTTGTCTTTCAGCACCTGGCCTGTTTCACTCAGCATAATGCTTTCCAGTTCCATCCATGTTGTTGCAAAGGGTAGTAGCTCCTCCTTCTTTCTCTCTGCTGCATAGAATTCCATTGTGTACATGTACCACAATTTTTGGATCCATTCATTTACTGATGGGCACCTAGGTTGCTTCCAACTCTTGGCTATTGTAAATTGTGCTGCTATGAACATTGTGGTGCATAGGTTCTTTGATATTGATGTTTTAGGATTCTTAGGGTATAATCCCAGCAGTGGAATTGCTGGGTCAAAAGGCAGGTCGATTTTTATTTTTCTGAGAAAATTCCATACTGTTTTCCATAATGGCTGTACCAGTCTGCAATCCCACCAACAGTGGACTAAGGACCCCTTTTCCCCACAACCTCTCCAACATTTGTTGTTTGTTGCTTTGTTTATGATAGCCATCCTGACTGGTGTAAAGTGGTATCTCATTGTGGTTTTAATTTGCATCTCTCTGATAGCTAATGATATTGAGCATCTCTTCATGTGTCTCTGAATGTTCTGTATGTCCTCCTTGGAGAAGTGTTTGTTCAAGTCCTTTTCCCATTTTCTAATTGGGTTGGGTGTCTTCTTAGAGTGGAGTCGTGTAAGTTCTTTGTATATTTTAGAGATTAAACCTTTAGAGATTAAACCTCTGAGGTATCATTGGCAAATATGTTTTCCCATACAGTTGGTTGTCTTGCTAATTTAATACTGTTTTCTTTAGCCATGCAGAAGCTTTTTATTTTGATGAGATCCCATTTGTTTATTCTTTCCTTTACATTCCTTACTCTAGGGGACATATCAGTAAAGAAATTGCTGTGTGAAATATCTGAGATTTTCTTGCCTATGTTCTCCTCTAGGACTTTAATGGTGTTATGACTTACATTTAAGTCTTTTATCCACCTTGAATTTATTTTGGTGTATGGTGTAAGTCTGTGCTCAAGTTTCATTTTTTTGCATGTAGCTGTCCAGTTCTCCCAACAGCATTTGTTTAAGAGGCTATCTTTACTCCATTTTATGTTACTGCCCCCTTTGTCGAATATTAATTGACTGTAGAGAGTTGGGTTGATTTCTCGGCTCTCTGTTCTGTTCCATTGGTCTATGTGCCTGTTTTTATGCCAGTACCAGGCTGTTTTGATTACAGTGGCCTTGTAATACAGTTTGATATCAGGTGTTGTGATCCCCCTACTTTGTTCTTCTTTCTCAAAAGAGCAGCTGCTATTCGGGCTCGTTTATGGTTCCATATAAATTTTCGAAGTGTTTGTTCTATGTCTGTGAAATATGCCATTGGTACTTTAATAGGTATTGCATTGAATCTGTATATTGCTTTGGGTAGTATGGACATTTTGATGATGTTAATTATTCCAATCCATGAACAAGGAATATGTTTCCATTTGTTTGTGTCTTCCTTGATTTCGTTCTTCAGGGCTGTGTAGTTTTCTGCATACAGGTTTTTTACCTCCTTAGTTAGGTTTATTCCCAGATATTTTATTTTTCTTTTTGCTATATCAAATAGGATTTTTCTCTTTATTTCTGCTTCTGCTGATTCACTGTTGGTATACAAAAATGCCTTTGATTTCTGGATATTGACTTTGTAACCAGCTGTTTTGCCAAACTCATTAATTAGTTTGAGCAGTTTTTGGGTAGAGTCTATAGGATTTTCCATGTATACTATCATGTCATCTGCAAACAGTGACAGTTTTGCTTCCTCCTTTCCTATTTGGATGCCTTTTATTTCCTTTTCTTGCCTGATCGCTGTGGCTAAAACTTCCAATACTATATTGAATAGAAGTGGTGAAAGTGGACAACCTTGTCTTGTTCCTGATCTTAGTGGAAAAGCTTTTAGTTTTTTCCCATTGAGTATGATATTGGCTGTAGGTCTCTCATATATGGCCTTTATTATTTTGAGAAATGCTCCCTGTATTCCCACTTTGCTGAGTGTTTTTATCATAAATGGGTGTTGTACCTTATCGAAAGCTTTTTCCGCATCTATTGATATGATCATGTGATTTTTGTCTTTGCTTTTGTTTATGTGATGTATTACATTTACTGATTTGCGAATATTGAACCATCCTTGCATCCCTGGGATGAATCCTACTTGATCATGGTGTATGATCTTTTTGATATATTGTTGGATGTGATTTGCCAATATTTTGTTGAGGATTTTAGCATCTATGTTCATCAGCGATATTGGCCTGAAGTTTTCTTTCTTTGTTGTGTCTCTATCTGGTTTTGGAATTAGGATGATGCTGGCTTCATAAAAAGAATTTGGGAGTTTTCCATCCTTCTGGATTTTTTGAAATAGTCTGTGGAGAATAGGGGTTAGCTCTTCCTTAAATGCTTTGTAGAATTCTCCTGTGAACCCATCTGGTCCGGGGCTTTTGTGTGATGGGAGTTTTTTGATTACTGCTTCAATTTCTTTTGCTGTTATTGGTGTATTTAGATTTTCTGCTTCTTTTTCACTGAGTTTTGGAAGATTGTATTTTTCTAGAAATGTGTCCATTTCCCCTAGGTTTTCAAATTTCTTGGCATACAGTTCTTCATAGTAATTTCTTACAATCTCTTCTATTTCTGTGTTATCAGTTGTAATCTCTCCTTTTTCATTTCTGATTGTGTTTATTTGTGTCCTCTCTTTTCTTTTCTTGATGAGCCTACTTAAAGGCTTGTCTATTTTGTTTATCTTCTCAAAGAACCAACTCCTGGATTCATTGATCCTTAAAATTGTGCTTTTAGTTTCTATGTCATTTAATTCTGCTCTAATCTTGGTTATTTCCTTCCTTCTGCTTGCTCTGGGTTGTCTTTGTTGTTGTTCCTCGAGCTCTTGCAGGCGTAGGGTTAGGGTGTTTGTTTGAAATGTTTCTATTTTCTTTAGGTAGGCCTGTATTGCTATAAACTTCCCTCTCAGGACTGCTTTCGCTGTGTCCCATAAGTTTTGGGTTGTTGTGAGATCATTTTCATTTGTTTCCAGAAATGTTTTGATTTCTTCCCTAATCTCATTCTTGACCCATTCGTTGTTTAATAGCATACCATTCAGTCTCCATGTTTTTGGGTGCTTTGGGTTTTTTTCTTTGGGGTTGGTTTCTAATTTCAGTCCCTTGTGGTCAGAGAAGATGCTTGGTATGATTTCAATTTTCTTGAATTTTTTGAGGCTCGTTTTGTGTCCTATCATGTGGTCTATCTTTGAAAATGTTCCATGTGCATTTGAAAAGAATGTGTATTTAGCTTCTTTGGGATGAAGGGCTCTATATCAGTTAAGTCCATTTCATCTAGGGTGTTGTTTAATGCCACAATATCTTTGTTGATAATTTGTTTGGAAGATCTGTCCATTTTTGATAGTGGGGTGTTCAAATCCCCTACTGTGATTGTGTTGCTGTCAATATCTTTCTTGAAGTCCTCTAAGATTTTCTTGATATATTTGGGTGCCCCTACGTTTGGTGCATATATGTTTACAATGTTAATGTCTTCTTGGTGGATTCTTCCCTTGAGTATAATGAAATGACCTTCTGGGTCTCTCTTTATAGCCTTTTTTTTGAAGTCTATTTTGTCTGATATGAGAATTGCTACCCCAGCTTTTTTTTCTTGTCCGTTTGCTTGGAAAACTTGTTTCCAGCCTTTCACTTTTAGTCTGTGATGGTCTTTTGTCCTGAGGTGAGTCTCTTGTAGGCAGCATATGTGTGGGTCATGCTTTCTTATCCATTGAGCTATTCTGTGTCTTTTGATTGGAGAATTTAATCCATTTACGTTTAAGGTTATTATTGATAGGTACTTATTCATTGCCATTTTTGTACCTGTGTTCCTCTCTGTCTCCCTCTTATCCTTCCTTCCCTTAAAGCAGTCCTTTTAGTATTTCTTGTAGAACTGGTTTGGTGGAGGCATATTCTTTTAGACTTCTTTTGTCTTGGAAGCTCTTTATTTGGCCATCTATCTTGATTGAGAGCCTTGCTGGGTAAAGTAGCCTTGGTTGTAGGCCTCTGGTTCTCATTACTTGAAATATTTCTTGCCATTCTCTTCTTGCTTGAAGTGTTTCCATTGAGAAGTCGGTAGCTAACCTTATTGGGGCTCCCTTGTATGTTATTTCTTTTTTCTCCCTTGCTGCCTTTAAGATTTTCTCTTTGTCTTGGAATTTTGCCATTTTGATGATGATGTGTCTTGAAGTGGGCCTCCTTGGGTTCCTCTTGGTTGGGACTCTCTGTGATTCCTGGATTTGTGAGACTTTTTCTCTTATCAAATTAGGAAAATTTTCTCTCATTACTTGTTCAAATACGTTTTCTATCCCTTGTTCTTCTTCTTCTCCTTCTGGTATTCCTATTATTCGGATATTATTACGTTTCATATTGTCTTGCATTTCTCTTAATCCCTCTTCATTCTTTCTGAGCCTCTTTTCATTTTCTTGCTCTTTCTGTGAGATGCTTTCTACCTTGTCCTCCAACTCACGAATCCTATCCTCCGCTTCATCTATCCTACTTTGGAAACTTTCTACTGTGTACTTCAATTCGGAAATTGTATTCTTCATTTCCTCTTGTCTCTTGCTGATAGTTTCCATTTCCTTTTTCATGTTGCTGTAGTTTGCAGAGAGATCATTATAGTTCCCCTGTAGTTTCTGGTAGTTCACTGTGAGCTCTTTGAACTTCGTAATAACCAGTGCTTTGAATTCACTGTCTGATAGTTGATCAGCGTCTATTTCATCTAACATTCTTTCTGAAGTTTCTGCTTTTTCTTTCATTTGGGGATTGTTTCTTTGTCTTCCCATTGTTTGAGACTCTTCTTGTTAGTCTCTGCTTCCAAAATTGATCTGTTCTGAAACACTGGTTTTATGGTGTAAACTTCTGTGGTATGATCCTTGTGAAGTTCAGTGGTGCAGACTCCTTGAAGTTTCTTGATGTTCTTCGTCTCCACCTACACTCACGCTGGTCCTCGCGCTGGTCCCTGCGTTGGTCGCCTACCACTGCTGAATGTCCCGGCTCCCGTATCTGGCTCTCTCTGCCACCCAGGGCCGTCACAGGGGCTTGGAGTGTCCCGGTTTCCGTACCTGACTCCCCAGCGTCCAGTCCCGTCGCTATGGCAGCGGCACAGGATTTGAGAGCTTCCCGGCTCCCGTAGCTGGCTCCTCTGCTGCGTCACAGGGGCTTGGAGTGTCCCGGCTTCCGTACCTGACTCCCTGGCGTCCAGTCCCATGGCTATGGCAGCGGCACAGAGGCTTAGAATGTCCCAACTCCCGTACCTGATTCCCCAGTGTCCAGTCCCGTCGCTATGGCAGCAGCACAGGGGCTGAGACCATCCCAGTTCCCGTAGAGGGATCCTCTGCCACCCAGGGCTGTCTCAGGGGTGAGACAGGGCTCTTTCTAAGTCTTTAACAACCGCTTTACTTTTGAGAATGACCTTGGCATCATCCTTGAATACTTTCTCTTGGGTTCACATAAGCTAAGAACTCACTTTTCTGTGTTTTTTTTAATCGTTAGGTTTAGATAAGTTATATCTCAGAAAATAGCACTATTTCTTCTTCCTGTTCATGTTATGTGCAGAGAATAATAAAGGAGCATAGGGAGAAGAGAAGTTTCTGCATGAGCCATTTGCACAAGCTGGCCCCTTAACCCATACTATAGGGCTGAGCTTATTCCTGGACAGAGTGTAGGGTGGCATGTGCTGGTAGTAGAGGTGAAAGGCTGCCAGTTGAAAGACTCGGGTTCCAGATCTAGCTGTTTATCACACACCCACTGTGAGCCCTAGGAGGTTAGTTAACCTCTCAGTTTTCAGTTTCTCCATTTGTCAGATGCGCTTCATAATTCTTGTTCTACTTGCCCACTAGGGTTGTTATGAGAATAGACATGGAAAAGCTTTGGAAAGTTAAAATGGTTATAGAAATGCACGTTGTTATGTTCTATATCCCTTACAAGGTTCATTGATGGAGGTCTTTCGGTTACTAAATGGTTGTATCCAGGGCTAGGTACTTTGCTTCTCACTTGCTAGCTATTCTCTACATAACTCTTAGCAGCAATTCTAGTCTAGTTTCCAGTTTTATTTTTTGGATTTTCTGCTATCTGTATTTTTTGATAACTGGCTATCAGAAAGAACCTTGGGATTCGTTTCTGAGTTATTTGGATAGGAAGCACTGGTGTGAGCAGTGGTTCTCAAGTTTGGCTGTTCATTGGACTTGATACCTGGATCCCACCCCCAGATATTCTGATTTAATTGGAATGGGGTGTGGTTTGGCCATTGGGATTTTTTAAAGCTCTAGTACTAGGTGAATCTAATGTGCAGCGAAATTTCAGAACCACTATTAGACATAGTCCTGAGCAAAACCATATAGCATTGTACTACACGAGGCCAAGGATAAGTGGCAGACCCCTGTTGGGTCAATGTGAACCCCTCTGACCCTGCCCTCTTTCCAGGGTCGTAATGTCCACCCATTAGCTTCCTGCCACTAAATTCCACTTTTGCCCTGAAATATAAATGTAACAGCAGAAAGATGAGAACCCAGAATGACAACACAGGCAGAGTTCATCAGAATAGGGTAAGCTGGTGGAGATTTCAGGGTTTACTGGTGAATTTAGAAGTATCTGCACTCCTTTCATTTGGACCATGTACTACCAATTTTAACACTTTTTGGAAGATTTCCAAGAAATTGAATTGAAAACTGAAAATGATCTAGCAATATGTTGCTTGAGAGCCAGAACAATCTATTTGGAGAAACTTCGGCTGAATCCTATTGGTCTGTCCACTCCTCCTTCTCTTCTTTTTTCATGGTGAACTTTAACCAGGAGCCTCTCTAAACCAAATACCACCCCCCCCCTCCGTGGTTTCTACTTGAAAGTGTTCAAAATAGTGTCAACAATAAAATTTTTAAAAAATAATTGTTTAAAAAAGAAAGTGTTAGACTGGAGTACTTACCTCCTTCATTTTTCCAAGGTTTGCTACACAGTTCACAAATAGAAACAGGTGTCTGATTCATACCCACCTCCTTAAAGTTTTCCCACAAGAAGCTGTCCCTGTTGTGGGGGTGGGGTTGTTCTCTTTTGGCGCATTTATGCTTTCTGACCACAGGCATGAGGTTTTGGGGGATTGTAACTTATGCTTCCTCATGGGAACTCCACCCTATCCCTTAGCTTGCTATAGAGCCAAGTCTAACTAATTAGAGGTATGTATAGCATCTGTTCGTTATTCTTGGAAACTTTTGTAAAATGATTTTATTTTTCTTATTCTTTCACAATTAATAAGGCTTTGACCTTTCTTTAAATCCAAGCTTTTTAGAGTATTTCTGTCAGAAAGGTGTTCTTAAGCTACAGATGAGATACTTTAGCCATATACTCTACAGCCTGAGATGCTTTGCTGGATCTGTGTAGGATGATAGCAGCCTCCTGTGGTGGTCTCGTGTCTGTTCGCACTTCAGAGTACTATACTGTCCCTACTGAGAGACATTGAAGGAAATTAGGAGGTTTATTTACTTTTTACATTAAATCTCCTATAGTTGAATGGCTCTATTTATTTAACTTTATGACACAAGCACTTAGCAAGTTTTAACCTTTAGCCTCATGTTACCTGCATGTATATTTTCCTAGTGTGTAGACTGCTGATGAGGGGTTTCACATTCATGCCCTTTATTGATCCCAATGTGTTTTTTACTTTAGCCATGTTTCCTGAGAGACTGGGAATTGCAGGTGCACTTCAAAATCCATGGACAAGGAAAGAAGAATCTGCATGGGGATGGCTTGGCAATCTGGTACACAAAGGATCGGATGCAGCCAGGTATTGGGACCCTGGATTGCTTTTGTGTAGGGGATGAATGACCTGCTTTCTTTCTTTTTCTTTTTTATAAAGATTTTGTTTATTTATTTTTAGAGAGAGAGGAGGAGAGGGGAAAAAGAGAGGGAAAGAAACATCGAAGTACAAGAGAAACATCTATCAGTTGCCTCTCGTACACCCCCAGCCAGGGACATGTGCCCTGACCAGGAATTGGAACCGTGACCTTTTGGTTTGTGGGATGATGCCCAACCCACAGAGTCACACTGGTCAGGGCCCAACCTGCTTTCTCATGTGCCCTCTTTTTGAGAAGGGTACGTCCCCACAATGCCAGCAATTTTTCCTCTCCCTTGATGTCTGTGGGTGCAGACTGGCCTGTCTGGTCTCTCAAGTAGGGTCTGAATCCTCATAAGGAGCCAAATCTGACTCATCCTGGGGCTATTCTTGCTTATTAGTTCTTTCTGATTTTCCTGTGACCTGGCCTGGCCTCTTGACTAGGTGAAAGTACTGGCTCTCCTGAACACTGATGACTGGGTGAGCAGATTCCTTCTGGGTGTTCACAGTGACCGATCTCAGCACTCCCGAGTTAAGAAAATAGTGTCTATTTTTCCCTGTTGTGTGGGAGCCCCAAGCAGATGGAAAACTCCAGCTGATTCAGCCTGATCTCTTTTGCAACAAGAAGTCAAACTCAGGAACATCAGATCTCTCTTAGGGGCATGGTCATCACCGAGTGTTTGTGAAGCAGAATTCTTTAGGGGCCCCTCAGCAGCTAGTCAGGATCAGGGAGCAGATGTAGTGCTAAACAAGGTTGCAGTGGCCTTTTCTCTTTCCCCCGCCTTTAGGAGAAGCTACAGCTATTTATTGGCTGCTTGTTATAGGCCCTATACTCTTCTGGGTGCTTTTCCATGTGTTTTCTCATCTTAATTGAGACCTGAGAGTCATTTGAATTTTACTTTTTTCTCCATCATAGTGATATGTTATTCTTATTTCAACTCTTGACTTTTTTTCATTGTTCATCATCTGTTCTCTCTCTCTAGGGCCTGTCTTTGGAAACATGGACAAATTTGTGGGGCTGGGAGTATTTGTAGACACCTACCCCAATGAGGAGAAGCAGCAAGAGGTAATGGCAAGTGTCAGAGCTTAGGTCAGCCACATGGACCTCCCCGTTCTCTGCTGTAGGAATGCTGTTCAGAAGGGAACAGAGAAGCTAGGAAGTGAGGGGTTCACTTCTACTTTCTTCATCTACCGAACTTCAAAAGTTAATATCTTTGTCAGGGTTTTTACTGGAGAGACCTATTTACGGTGCATACTCTTTTGGGAATGGCTGTCTGAATGAGGGCTTTCTCTTCAGTGTTAACGGTGTTCTGCCTTGGGCACATTAGGTGGTTGCTGGAAGTGAGCATGCTTGGCCAGTTGGCGATATGGCTGCTAGGCCAGCAGCACCAGAGCAAGCTGAATTTATGTAACTAAGCTCCCCTGATTACGTAATACATCACTGCTCTGTTCTGTAGCTTGCTTACCCTTTCCAGCATCCTTTTCTTCCTCCTCTTCTCAGACCTGAACAGCATTTCTCTTCTTCTCTGGGAAAGGCTATCAAAGGAAATGGATGAAATCTCAGGATTTTGTGGGAACCCAGTATCTGGCTGTTGGCAGAAGCTTCTTTCTTTTTGTTAGCAAATCTTAAGGGTTCTTTAGTACTTTCTTATGCTAGCAACAGGTTGGTACTCTCTGCCCAATGGTCCTGCCATCAGATGGTAGGAAAATGATTATGACAGGTTGTTGCCGGACATCCTATAACTGAATAATATTTAGCAAGAAAGGCAGGATTAGGAGTGGAGGTAGAACTCACTTTATTTTTAAGCCCTAAAGTTTTCAAACTTATAAAAATATTGAACAGATCACTGTATATGCAACACCCAGATTCAGCAGTTTTTAACATTTTCCACAGAGTTTGCCTTAGAGGATGTGGAGAGTGAGACCTGAGTTAGAAGAATAAACTTTTATTGTGAGTCAGTTACTAGAGTTGTTTCTGAGTCCCTCTTCACTCCTCCATCCCCAGGCCCTGAGAATCTTGAGCAAGACCTCAGTAGCCCCGATGTGTGAGAGTGCTGGTGGGGGGCACTCAGGGGTGTGGAAGGAAGGCAGCAGCAGCAGCATCGAACTGGGGCAGGACTTTGGTGGTCGGGGTGACTGTTAGGGAAGATTTTTTCCAGGAAGTGACATTTACATTGAAGTCTGCAGAATGAGGAACCCATGTTTCATATTGAGGAAAAAGCATGTATTAAGGTGATGAAGTGAGAGAAGGGATAACAATTGTAAGGACAAAAAAGGGGAATCAGAAAGAGATGAGGCCAAAGAGAAGAACGGAGCTAGCAGTGTTGCTGTTGTGCACAATTCCGGGGGCCACCATTCACATTGCATTCTTTTGTATTAACACTGTTCTCTCTTGAGGATGTTAACTGGCCACTGAGATTGAACACTGTCTCCATGGGTGGGTGGTGGTTTGGCTATTTAGACCAGCACCAGAGCCGTCTGCATGTATGTGACTTACTCTTAGCACGCACACTCTTGGGCCAGATATTGAAGGGTGGTGTTCACATTAAGAAGTATGGAATAGTGCAGACCTGCATTAAAGGATTTTAATGAGGAGTTTATCATGACTAGGTTTGTGGTTGTGCTGAGGAAGTAGTGGTAGTTAGAAGTGCATCTGAATAAGAGGCCTGGGCTTCAGGGCCTAACTAGAGTTTTAAATCTGCCTCTGTTTCTTTCAGAAATGAATTGTTCATACTGTCTTGGCTTCCACTTCACCATCAGATACTAGTAATTCTGGTTTGAGAGGGCAAATCCGATGAGCTTATTTTGTAAGGATAGTAGCTGTTAATAACAATTTCGGATGGTATAAAGTGGGCCTTCTTTTCTGGCTAGCTGTTGTGGTTTTGACTCCCAACTGCACATTGGAATTACCTAGATAGTGTTTAAAAATGCTAATATCCAGACCTAACCTCAGAGTCTGATTCCATTTGTCTTAGGTGAAATTTAGGCAACCTTACTTCCCGACGGTCTCAAAGCTGTCCAGGTGAATCACATGTATAGCCAGGACTGAGAATCCCTCGACCAACATCAGGTCCTTTTTTAAAATTTTTTGTTTATTAAACAAATTTTAAAATTAAAACTAAATTTAAAAAAACAATAAAAGCAGTTTTGTTTACTACTTTGGTTATTTTGTGATGGGCACTTTATAAGTACTATCTTAATCCTCATCAAATTTCCTTATAGTCAGTATTATTTTTCCCATTTTACCAGTGAGTAAACAGAAGGTTAGAGAAGTTAAGTGTCTTAGAACAACCAATATAAGATGGTGTCAGATTTTGAACACAGGTCCACCTGATTCCAGAGATCGTGTTTTTAATTATGATGCTCTGTTACCTCCCACTCACTGTTTTCTTCCGAAGGGTGGATTTCCTTGAGAATGGAGGCATTCACTGTTCTCATGTGATTTGTGCAATTTCAGTTCTTAGAGCTTCTTCTTAGTGCAGAGAACATAGAAAGTGTATTCCTTTCCACATAGTAACAACCTGGACTGTCTTAGATGTGTTTTGTTGGCAGCATGGTTTACTATGATACGATGTGTAAAGCTGCCAGCTCTTGTTCCATGCACTTTTACAGTTATTATTTGCTTATCAAAACAATACTTTGGAGCATATATTATTTTTATTTGTACATTATGGGTAAGAAACTGAAGTCCAGAAGGCTAAAAAACTTGTGACACACAGGTAGTGGGTTTAACTCCAATGATCTCAGCCTCATTATTTTCTTTATTATTTTCAGCACATAAGGAGAAGGTGACAAGTACAGTACCTCTTAATAACTTGCAGATATTATGTCATGTTAAGAAGGTGTGCTGGATGAGGAGGACAAGGAGCTGACAGGAGGGGTGTGGAATAATTCATCAAATTCCTTGAGCTATTGTAGTGAAAATGTTCCTCTGGTTTCTTGTTTCCTTGTCACCAGAGTGTATGTGACCTTGTTGCTCAACTCACTTGGTAGCACGTTTGTTCATGAGGAAATACTGGGAAAATGCTAGCAACCACTAATGCATCTCGGAAGAGGTGAAGGGAGTTCAGCATATGATTAGAGTTTTGGCTTAGCTATCTGAAATCAGGACAGATTGTCCAAAGTCACTTAGTTTCCCTACCAGTGATACAGGAATTGCTGTTTAGGTGATTAAGTCAAGAGCTTCAGTATTTGGGAGTACAGGGCTGCGCTGTAGTGAGGTTGCCGAATCATAAATGGTTGTTGAAATAATACCTGAAGAGATAGAAAATCTGTATAGATCTGTGTAAATAAAGTGATTGAGTTAGTAATTTAAAATCATTCACAAAGAAAAGCCCAGGACCAGATGGTTTCACTAATAAATTCTATCAAATATATAAAGTAGAATTAATACAGAATTCTTCTCCAACCCTTACAAAATGTAGAAGGAAGGGACACTACCAACTAATTCTTGAATTGGTATTACCCTGGTACTAAAACTAGATAAGGATATCACAAGAAAACCATAGAACAATATCTCTTATGATTATAGATGGAAAATCTATACAAAACACTAGCAAACCAAATCCAGCAGCATATGAAGAGGATTATATACTATGGCTGAGTATGTTTATCCAAGAATTAATGTTTGGTTTGATATCTGAAAATTAATATGCTAGATTATTAATAGAATAAAAGGCAAAAGTCATTTGATCATAGTGATGGATGTAGAAAAAAGTATTTGATAAAATGTAATACCTCTGTGATAAGAAAAGTACTCAACAGATTAGGAATAGAGGGGAACTTCCTCAACCTGGTAAAGGGCATCTGGAAACCCCCCAGATAACATTACACTTAATTGTAAAAGATTGAAAGATTTCCTCCTAAGGTCAGGAACAAGACAAGTATTCTACTCTTGCCACTTCTAGTCAACATAGTCCTAGAGGGTCTAGTTAGCACAAGTAGGCAGGAAAATAGAAGACATCTAGATTGGAAAGAAAGAAGTAAAACTATTTCTGCTTGCAGTTGACAGCATGTCAAAACCCCTAAAGAACCCATAAACTTAGAACCAATAAATGAATTCAGCAAGGTTGCAGGACCCAGGATCAACATACAAAAATCAATTATATTTCTATGTGTTTGCGTTGAACAATCCGAAAATGAAAGTAAGAAAATTCCTACTATTTATGCTACTATCAAAAATGAATAAAATGTTAGAAATAAATTCAAAGAATATATATTCTGAAAACTGTGAATATTGATGAAAGAAATTAAAGAAGATCTAAGTAAATGGAAAGACATACCAGGTCATGAATTAGAAACTTAGTATTGTTAAGATGGTGACACTCCTCACATTAATCTACAGATTTGATACAATCCCTATCAGAAGCCTAGCTGGCTTCTTTGAGAAATCGATAAGCTGATCCTACGAACAACAAAAATTCAAGAGAATCAGAATAGCCAAAATAATTTTAATAAAGAAGAGCAAAGTTGGGGGACTGACACTTTCTGATTTCAAAACTTACTACAGACTCCAGTCAAGATGGCTGCGTAGGCAGACATGGCTTGTGTCTTCTCACAACCACATCAAAATTAAAACTAAAGGTAGAACAACCATCACTTGGGAATGTCAGAAATCAAGCTGAATAGAAGCCTGACTATGGAATTAAACCACATCCATTCAGACTGGTCAAAGGAACACAGATGCAGGACAGGCTGGTCCCACACCCACGTGAATAAAAATTTGGGAGGGATATTTCAGGAGTGAGGAGTCAGGAGCAGGACCCTCAACCCAGGATTCCAGTGCCAGGAAGATAAGTCCCCATAACTTCTGTCTCCAAAAAAACAGTGGGGATTGAATTTGTGGAAGAAACTGCTAGAGCCCCAAGCAGCTCCTCATAAAGAACCAACACACAGATTCACTTAGACATCAGTGGCATATAGGGAGAAACTGAAGTGTTGGGCATCAAGATGAGCATAGGCCAGTGTCCCTTTGCTACCCCCCGCCCCCAACAGAACCGTTAAGCTGGTGGCATATCTGAGACTCCATTAACCTGGGTAACACTGACCTACCTTGGAGATCCCCAG